AGTGAAGGATTAACTTGACTTGAGAAAGCTAGTTAATTAATTTAGGGAAATCTGCCATCACATGCAATAACACTCAACAATTTGGTAATCCAGAATTTATATTGATTGATTATGGTGAAATCAATGCCTTAGTACCTTATATCTTGATTAGGTTTAATTTAATTGTTATTTTCCTTTTATTATTTTAGTTAAACTTTCTTCCCATTTGGTTGTTCAAATAAATTTGGATTAATTATTTTGGTACTTAGTTAGACACAATCCTCGTGGGTTCGACATTCTTCTCATCATTATATTACTTGGAGCGACTAATACACTTGCTAGGGTGATTTTAGTGCAACAAGTTTTTGGCGCCATTGCCTTAGTACCTCATGCAAAAGCTTGTTGCACTAAAATCACCATAGCAAGTGTACTAGTCGCTCCAAGTAATATAATGATGAGAAGAGTGTCGAACCCACGAGGATTGTGTTTAATTAAGTACCAAAATAATTAATCCAAATTTATTTGAACAACCAAATGGGAAGAAAGTTTAACTAAAATAATAAAAGGAAAATAGCAATTAAATTAAACCTAATCAAGATATAAGGTACTAAGGCATTGATTTCATCATAATCAATCAATATAAATTCTGGATTACCAAATTGTTGAGTGTTATTGCATGTGATGGCGGATTTCCCTAAATTAATTAACTAGCTTTCTCAAGTCAAGTTAATCCTTCAATGGTTTGTTAAATTAATCATATCTCTATGTAATTTTAAACAAACTAATGAGCATTAGATTTTATGGAAACCTCTAGCTTAAGAAGGGGGAGCTACTAACTCTCTTCTTTTCCTCCACTACCACATGTGAGCGAATTACCTCTCGGTCTCATAGTCTAGCACACGGTTTATATTATTATTGGTCTAATCTACGCAATTCTTTCTCAAGTTCATGCATAAATCACTAAATCAATTGAAAGGTGATCAGACTTTCAATGCATTAAATTCAATAATATAAACTCCTCATGCAAATAACTTTAATTGAAAGAATAAAATTACAAAATCCATATTAAATTGATTAGGCTATATCGTAGCCCTAGTAGAATAAATCAGTTCATAATAAAAATAATAAAATCTATAATCATAGTTATGAACAAGGAAAAATAAAACCCAATTTGAGAAAATTGCAATCCTTGATCTCCTATTGTTGAATCATCTATCTTGACCTCCAAAAATACCCAAAAGAGGGCTGCCACAAGCCTCCCAAAGCTCCCTTAATTTCGAATTTGGATGGGTATTTATAGGATTTTAGAAACCCTAATTGAAATAGAAGTAGGACTTGAAACAAAAATAGGAAACTGAATTTTGGATGCTGATCGCGTGGTGCTGACACTTCGGATTACGTGTTGACACAAAATAAGAAACAGAATCTGATTCTGGACTTTTAACGCATGGTGTCGACACCTCGATTACGTGTCGACACTACACCCGTGTCGGGTTTTTGGCCTCCTTTTGCAATTTCTTTAATGGTAAAGTAGCAGATTTGGTTCCTAACTTCTAGATTTTGCACAAGTTGATCCTCAAGTCTCTGATCTCTTCAATTTACTTCTAAAAGTATGATTTCTTCTAATTAAATCCTTTCCTACACAAAGAATGAAAACTATGTAAAATCAAACAAAATCCCATAAAACTCATCCAAATATCAATAATATCAAAGTCAAAATTCCCTATTAATATGTATATAAATTTAGCTCATCATGCCTCTACTTAGAGTATATTTGGTGAAGCTTGTAAGAGTTTTTTACTTCTTTTGTATTGTTCATGAGTGATAAGTTTAAAAGTCGCTTTTAGAAATTGAAAAAAGTGAGTAAGAACAAAGTAAAAAGAAAGTTTATAAAAAGCAAAATTTTGAATCTTTTCAAAATTTATTGTTTAAGGTCTTTTTAAGGTTAAAAAAAAGTTAAAAAATATAAGTTTTTAAGAGAAAAATTTAAACTTATGAAACATGAATAGTATCAAAAAGTTGAAGCTCTTATAAGCTTTATCAAACATGCTCTTAATCAATTATGAGGCATGAATATGATGACTGCCTATTTGTCACTAAGTTATCGATGATTGATTGATTATATAACAAAAAGCCAAAGATCAATTACAAGGC